TTTTTTCATGAAAAAAGTGTGCCTTTGCACAAAAAAGGTTGAAAAACACTGCTTTAGACAAGAATCATAAGACAACACTTGATAGTCATAGGTTATTAATAAGCAATCAAATCATACTAGGAAACAAATAAAACAATATAAATTGTAAAGTTACAAGCAATGTGGTTATAGTAAGTGGGAGGAGATAGGTACTAGGAAGGATGAGAATAATAATAGTAATACAGTCTTAGTAAATAAAATTCATACAGAGAACACACAGGAGAAAAATTCATACAGGAGAACAACCAAACTCAAGGGAGCACCAGGTATCTCAAACATTGGTTTTTTTTCACTGGGCCAAAGTCACTTATTGTACCTATTTTTTTTAAAAATATACAGGTATTCCTCAATTTATGACCATAATGGAGCCTGCCCATCATAAATCTCGATGGTTAATCACATGATTGGCCAGATTTTACCACCTTTTTTTGTGGCAATTGAGTGCTGCAGTTGTTGAACGAACCAACGGTAAACCTGCAGTAAATGCCAGCTTTTGGCAAAAAACGTTGTAAAGTCAAGTCATGTTGCCATGGAATGCTGCAAATGGCTGTAAAAGCAGCCCCAAGATAGATCTGCCGGTCACTTCAATTGGTCGCTAAGCAACTGGGTTGTAAGTTGAGGACTACCAACATGTAAATTTTTATTAAAGAAATTAAATTTAGATGCATTTTACCTGGAAAAGGAGGCTCTGCTGGCCTGTTTCTGGGTCCCTCTGCTTGGTTACTGAAAGGAAGGATTAAAGAGAGACCGAGGGGTCAGCAGGGCTTTGCGACAGGATCCTTTGGGCTTCAAGAGCTCGGAATGAAATCTCCTATTGAATGTCCCAATAGCAGTAGCACTTAGACTTACCGTATTTTTCGGAGTATAAGACGCTCCGGAGTATAAGATGCACATTAGTTTTTGGAGAGGAAAATAAGGGAGGGGGGAATTTCTGCCTCTGCCTACCACCATCCATCAGTATTCATCTAGCTAGTGTCCTTAGCAAACAGCCTGGTGAGCTTCAGCACATCAGCCTGATTCAGCACAAGCAGCTGATTGGCAGATAGAGTTCCTTCCCGGAATCCCCCCCACACACCAATCAGCTGTTCTGAGAGGGGAACTTTAGCAACAGGTTTGCTGGTTGAGGCTCAAACGCAGCGTCAAAAATGCAGCTGAACTTCGCAGGGCGCTTCCGTCAGTACAGCAGGCGCTGTGCGGAACCGGTCTGACAAGGCAGCAGCTGTTCTGGGCTGCCTTTTGGCCTCTGTGCCTCATGTTTTAAGCCTCCGAACACCACGTTTTTGGCCTCTCGTGTTGCGTTTTCAAGCAGCAATGTGCTCTGGGGATCCCCGCATCCTTGAACGGGACTGAAACTGAGCGTTCGGAGACCAAAAATGCAAGGCATGGAGGGAGGAGATCTGTGGCAATCCCTGCTGCCTGTAACAGGTCTAAAATGCGACACATGGAGGCCAAAGGGTGGGGGGGATGGCGGGTGGGCAGGGCTACATTTGCTGTATAAAAAGGTAAAGGTACTAGCACATATGTGCTAGTTGTTCCCGGCTCTAGAGGGATGGTGCTCATCTCCGTTTCAAAGCTGAAGAGCCAGCGCTGTCTGAGGATGTCTCTAATGTCATGTGGCTGGCATGACTAAATGCTGAAGGTGCACGGAACGCTATCTACTGAGCCGAAGTGGCGCAGTGGTTAAACGCAGCACTGCAGGCTACTTCAGCTGACTGCAGTTCTGCAGTTCGGCTGTTCAAATCTCACCGGCTCAAGGTTGACTC